TCATGCTGGGGATTGAACTCGAGGCTTTGTGTCAGAGAGACAAGTACTTTGTCAGCTACGACATGTCCCTAGTCTTGGGGTATTTCTCTTGTAGTTTTAGTATGTAGTTTTTTTTTAAAGATTTATTTATTTATTATATATACAACATTCTGCCTCCATGTATGCCCACATGCCAGAGGAGGGTGCCAGATCTCAGTACAGATGGTTGTGAGCCACCATGTGGTTGCTGGGAATTGAACTCAGGACCTCTGGAAGAGCAGCCAGTGCTCTTAACCGCTGAGCCACCTCTCCAGCCCCTGTTGTTTATATTTTTATTAAATTCCCTTAATGTTGAAATATGGAAGCGGCGGGGCTGCGTCCCCAACACCCCGGCCGCTTGGCTAGCTTATGCCCGAAATAACAGCACACAAACTGTATTCATTTAAAGAACTGCTTGGCCCATGAACTCTAGCCCTTACAGGCTAATTCTTGCACCTGGACTAGCCCATTTCTAATGATGTGTGTAAGTACCCCAAGGTGCGCTTACCGGGAAGATTCTAGCTTAAGTCCATCGTGGGTTGCAGCTGCCTGGGAGAGCAGAGCATGGCGGCTGTCCGGTCTCTCTGAAAGCAGCGCAGAGTCTGACCTCACTTCCTCTTCCGCCCAGAATTCTATTCTGTTTACTCCTCCCATCTATGTTCTAACCTATCAGGGCCAGCCAAGCAGTTTCTTTTATTGCTCAGCCAATGAAATCAACAGATTGATATGACACTCCCACATCACCTTAATATTTATGCTTTTGGCTTTTTGGGTGGTGGTGGGTGGATGGGTGCATTTGTGTGTTTGTGGGTGGGGTGGAGAGTGTTTGTGTGTGTGATGTTTCTAAGCTAAAGAAAAGCCTGGAAGAGAAACTGGTTTTGTTTTCAATGTATAAGAGTTGATGATACAATAACAAATTTTGTGATGATTGAGTCATTGTGAATATGTTTTGTGTGTTATAAAGCAATTTTAAGTGGGGTGTGTTAGTGCATGCTTTTAATCCTAGCATTTGGGATGGAGAGGCAGGTGGATGAGGTCAGCCTGGTCTACAGAGTAAGTTCCAAGACGCTAGGGCTACACAGAGAATCCATGTCTTGAAAACCCAACCAACCAAAGTCAATACAGCCAGAAGTGGTGGCCAAGGCCTTTAACCTCAGCTCTCAGGAGGCAGAGGTAGGTGGAAATCTAAGTTTGACGTCAGCCTGGTCTACATATAGTGAGTTCCAGGGCAGCTAGGACTGTAGAGAGACCATCTCAAAAACATAAATTAAATAAATAAATAAATAAATAAAAAACCAAACACTAGCCCCACGAGACATGGCAATAAGAAGGCACTGCACGCTGCAACTGTTAGGAAAAGGCAAAACTGGCCTGAGCACAGGGTGACGGTTCTTCACACATGTTTGTGAGAGTCAGTTCTCTCCTTCCGCCACGCGGTCCTGGGGATTGCACTCCTATCGTCTGGTTTGCGGGCAAGTGCCTGCTGAGGCGAATTACCAGCCATGTTTTTCTTTACAGTCTGTGGAATGAATGCTTATCTCTGAGCATAGTGCATATGTCCTATTTTCATGTCCACTCCTGCCCCTGAGTAATCTAGATGTTTATAGTTTTCTTTTTTGTTGGGTCTCTTTTTCTTCTTTGAGATAGCCTTGTAGAGCAGCCCCAACTGGTCTGTAACTCGATATTGTAAATCAAACCGGCCTCAAACTTACAGTGTTCCTCCTGCCTCTGCCTCTCTGGGCTGGGGTGACAGGCATGTGCCACCATGCCTAGCTAGAGATGCTTAGAATTTTCGTGTCCTTTGCGTGTAAGAAGTGGTTCCAGTCTGGAAAAGGCTTCCAATTAAAGTTAGTGGGTGAAAGCAGTGGAAATAGCTCCTCAGACACATGGCTACCCTTGTTCTGCAGGGTGTTATGACCTGGGCAAGCCCAGCACAGTCTACCAAGATTGAGAGAGTGGCTACCCCCTCTGAGATGCACATTGCAATCACTGTAGATATGGAATCAACCATCAAGGTGTGGAACTGTCGTGACGACTAACGCCATGTCTGCTTCCTGTGGGTCGCTGGAAGCTGTCCTTACAAAGGATGGCCCATTTGTCTTGGTAAGTGACCCCCCAACTCTAGAGTAGGCATACAGAACAAAACACTGGCCAGTCTGAGGTCCCATCACTGTCAAAACTGTTTGTCCTCTCGGAGTCGTGTCTGCAAACCTGAGAGTCAGTCACAGCACAGGGATAAATGACAGCTGACCTAACCTCATGGACCTTTCCTAAGCCATCTTGTCTTTCTTTGTTTTGGTTTGGTTTGGCTTTTCAAGACAAGGTCTCTTTGTGTAGCCTGGCTGTCCTAGAACTTGCTTTGTAGACCAGGCTGGCCTGGAACTCAGAGATCCTCCTGACTCTCTCTGTCTCTCAAGTGTTGGGATTAAAGATGTGTGCCACCCTCACTATGCTCTTAAGCTGTTCTTTAAAAAAAAATTAAATTTTTCTAGAGGCCTGGGGCGAGATGTCTTAGTATAGGGGTGTTTGCTGTGCAAGCGTGAAGACCTGAGTTCAAATCCCTGGCAATCACATAAAAAGTGGGTAATAAAAAGTACCTAACTGTGTTGGTGGCTCCAGTGCTGTTGGGGTTGGAAACAAAAGGGTGACTGGGACTTGCTGGCTGTTAGTCAGCCTTGCTCCAGGCTCAATAAGAGACTACCTCAAGGGAATGAGGTGGAGACCGAGGGAGCAGGATGCCTGACGTGTACTCACGGGTGTGCACATCCACATACCCATGCACAAATATACATACAACACACACTTTTTCTAAGTGATTTTACATTTCTGTGGTGTGGGACAATGGTCTGTATTCTGTCAGTTATATTTTAAATAAACACTGATTGGACAGTAGCCAGGCAGGAAGTATAGGCAGGACAACCAGACAGGAAGTAGAAGTGGGTCAATGAGAACAGAAGAATTTTGGGAAGAAGGAAGTCATTCCTCAGCAGTCCTGGCCCAGTCACAGAGCAAGCAAGCTGTGACTGCCTCGCTGAAAAAGGTACTGAGCCATGTGGCTAACATAGGCAAGAATAATGGGCTAATATGTTATAAGAGTTAATAAAAATCCTGAGATAATCGGCCAATCAGTTTATAACTAATTAGACCTCAGTGTGATTTCTTTGGGACTTAACAATTGCGGGAACCAGGCTGTACAGAAAACCTCAGACAACATTTTTGCTTCTTTCAAATGTTTATTATTTTTAATGTTTTATTCTTGTTTTGTGTGTATTGGGTGTTTTGCTTGCATGTACATCTGCATGAAAGTGTCAGATCCCCTGGCACTGGAGTTACAGACAGTTGTGGATTGTCATGTGGGTGCTGGGAATTGAACCCAGGTCCTCTGCAAGAACAGCCAGTGCCCTTAGCCACTGAGCCATCTCTCCAGCACTCTAATATTTACTAATGTGGACTCCATAATTTGGACAGAGATAGTGGAGAGAAAACTGAATTTTATCAGATAATAAGGAAAAAGGATAATGTTGACACCCCAGAGAGTCGTTGGGGAAGAGTGGTTTAGGACTTAGAAAATCTCCCTCCTTTATATATGTGTGTATGTTTGAGTCAAAGTCATATGTAGTCCTGGCTGGCCTGGAACTCACTGTGTGGACCATGCTATCTTCAAACTCAGAGATTAGCCTGCCTCTATCTCCTGACTGCTGGGGTTAAAGACATATGCTACCATGTATTGTTTTGTTTTGGGATTTTTGTTTGTTTGTTTGTTTTTTGAGAAGGGTTTCTCTATGTAGCCCAGGCTGTCCTGAAACTCACTATGTAGACCAGATTGGCCTCTAACCTAGAGACCCACCTGCCTCTGCCAAGTATTGTGATTAAAGGTGTGAAACACCACCACCCAGCCCTGTAAAAGTCTCTTTTAAAAAAATGTGTAGCCAGGCAGTAGTAGCACATGCCTTTAATGCCAGCGCTTGGGAAGCAAAGGCAGGCAGAACTGAGTTTGAGGCCTGGTTGTCCCGCCTATACTTCCTGCCTGGCTACTGGTCAACTGACGTTTTATTAAAACAATACAATTGACAGGGTACAAGGCCATTGTCCCACAACACATTTATATCATGTATTAGACACTGGGTTCTAATGTCCTTTCTCAGTACAGGTGTCTTTCCAGTGTTCGGGCTATTATTGATTGTTCAAACTGTCATTGTCATAGTCTGCTTTTCCATGGTCAAGGCCATGGATCTGTCAGTTCACTGGACTGTCTTCATGGTCTCTACCAGGTTAGAGTCCCATGGAAGTAGGGGTATGATTCAGAAGTTGCCCACCTACTTTGTGTTTTGCATGGACCAGTTCATAAAGTTACAGCCTTCTGGTTACCATATTATATCGAGGGCCTAGGATGGATGGGAGTCAGCGATAAGAATGCAATTGTGTTTTCAAGCAAGTCATCTCTATTTGTCTATAACATGCAAGGCATCCAGCTGCAGAGATTTGAAGGCTGCCTGCAAAGGACCATGAAATTACTAGTGGTATGTCTGGGGTGCCTCCTTTCCAGTGGTGGGTTTTTGTTGTTGTTGTTGTTGTTGTTGTTTTGTTTTTGTTTGTTTGTTTGTTTGTTGTTTTTGCTTTTTTTGAGACAGGGTTTTTCTGTAGCTCTGGAGCCTGTCCTGGAACTAGCTCTTGTAGACCCGGCTGGCCTCGTACTCACAGATCTGCCTGTCCTTGCCTCCCAGAGTGCTGGGATTAAAGGCGTGCGTCACCACCACCTGTATGGAATTATGTTTTTTAGCTTATGACTGTTGGGACATGTGCATATGCATGCCCACACAGAGGCCAGAGGCCAGCTTTCCGGAGTTAGTACTTTTCTCTTTCCACCCTTCCACTGACTCGAGGGATGGAACTCGGAGTACCAGGCTCACTAGCAAGTGCCTGTACCTGATGGGCCATCCCATGGGCCCTTTCCCTGTATTTTGATGTCACTTTGACTCCTGCCCACTCACATCTGGGTGTCCTTTGAAGGATCCCCTCCACGTCATCTCTACATTTACTGATGGTTCTTTGGATGTATACACGTGGGAGGAGAGAAGACTATACCTCAGGAAGTGTTACCGTCTACAAAACGAGACACATGTGGGACCAACAAGGTAAGCTCTGCTTTGCAACGTTTAAGTATACCTTAATAATAATAAAAAACCCTTCTGAATAAAAATGCAGTTTACTTTCTGTAAAAAGATATGACTAGGTGTATGATCCCAACATCACATAAAAGCCGGTATTGTGTTGTGTGTGCAGAGGGGGGAAGGGGAGAAATGGGGAGAGACAGAAGCTGCCTCTTTGAGAGGGAGATGGGAAGAGACTCAGGCTGGAAGCTGATCAGTTTGCCTTGGGTGGAGGAGGGAGTGGGCGTGGCCTGTCTCTTAAAGGGACAGAGCAGTCCATTACTCATCTTCAATCCTAGCACTTGGGAGGCAGAGGCAGAGGCAGATGGGTCTCTTGTCAGTTCCAGGACAGCCAAGGCTGTTACAGAAAAACACCCTGCTTTGTGTGTGTGTGTGTGTGGGGGGGGGGGTTGCCAATTCTTGTGACTGTGGCACATACAGCCACCTGTCAGCAGTTAGACTACCACAGTAGAACCCAGACTGTGCCCTTCCTAGTTTGTCTTTAATGGCAGGATGGGCCTCTGAGTTCTGTGCCCACTTGGGTTGCTTCATTCATGGAAGTTTTTTTTTTTTTTTTTTTTTTTTTTTTTTAATCTCCTTTGGCTAACTTTTCCCATGAGTTTTACTTGCCTTCATCCAAATTATTTTCACTGAGCAGGGTGTGCTGGCACACGCCCAGTTCCTAGCTCTGAGCACACCCAGGCAAGGATTGATTGCAAGTTTCAGGTCATCTTGGACAATCTGGTGAAACACCCCCTTACCCTACTCCCAATCTCCAAAAGAATGGAAAAGTTTACTTTGAATTGTTTTTGTCTTTTTTGTTTTTGTTTCTTGTTTGTTTTGTTTTCGAGACGGGGTCTCTCTGAATTGGCCTGGCTGTCCTGGTACTCACAAGGCTAGCCTTGAACTCAGAGATCCACCTTTCTCTGTCTCCTGAGTGGTGGGTTTAAGGTGTAGGCCACCATTGCCCATCCCGAGTCCATTTTCAACAAGGGTCAACAGCACTTGACAACTTACCAATATAATTTATATTACATGTATGACTCAATGATATTTTCTCCCTATGGATATGGGAGCACTTGACAACTTACCAATATAATTTATATTACATGTATGACTCAATGATATTTTCTCCCTATGGATATGGGAGCATACACCTATAATTTCACACTCAGGAAACTAAGGCAGAAGGATTACCTCAAGTTTGAAACCAGCCTAGGCTACATTCAAATTCAATGCTAACCTACATAGTGAAACCTTACTTAAAAATTTTTTTTTCCACTCTGTAGGCTTTCTCTTTGTTTTTTTTTTTTTTTTTTTTTTTTTTTTTTTTTTTTTTTTTTTTTTTTTTCCCACTTTGCTGTGGATAAGCTTTTTAGTTTGATTCAATCTCATTCTCTAATTCCTGGTTTGGTCGCCTGTGTTTGGGGTCCTAGCTAAGAACTCTAGCCTAGCCCAGAGTCATAAAAAGTTTTCTATAGATTTGCTTTTAGTTGTTTCCAAGTTTTGGGTCTGATCTTATCTTGAATCTGTTCTGAGATAATTATTGAATTACTGATTAGTGGGTGGTACATGGATGTGGTGTTTAGCTAACTTCCTCCACACCGTTTATTGGAGACTATCGTTTTCCCTTAAACCGGTCAACCATGAATGTGTGGATTCTGTGACTGGGCTCTGATGGACCTGTTTCTATGACAACGCCGTTCTGCTTTGCGCACAGTAGCTTCGCGGGATGCATTTTAAAATCTAGTATTGTGATAACTCTTATTTTGTTGTTTTGGTCAAGAAGGCCTTCGCTATTTAAAGTGTGTGTGTGTGTTGGTTGTTTTGAGACATCCTTTATATCCAGGCTGGCCTGGAAATTGCTATGTAGCCAAGGCTAGCCTAAAGTTTTATGTATCCAAAGATTGCCTTGAACTCCTGATCTTGCTGCCTCACTCAGTCTCGGTCTTTTGTCATCAGTTTATTCTCTTTCAGGATTTGAAAAGGGCTTTACTATTCCTTCTGCCTTCTGTTGATGTGCTGAGGGAGCTATTGTCATTGGAGGCTGTCACTCGTAGATCCAGGTGTCATGTCCCTCTGATTTCAAGTCTTTTGTTCGGTGTTGTGTGTCATCCCCCTCCTCCCCCATGACAGGGATTCTCCGCAGTTCTGGCTGTCCTGGAACTCACTCTGTAGACCAGGTTGACCTTGAACTCTGAGATCTGCCTGCCTCTGCTTTCAGAGTGCTGGGATTAAAGTTGGTGGTGTGCCAAATTTTGTTCAGTTTTTAGAAATTGGATTATGACGTATCTAGTGTGAATATGTGGAATTTAATGTGTTTGGGCTTGATCAGCTTTTGCCTCTGTAGATTTAGCAATTTGGGAGAGAGATTTGTCTTTCATGTGCTGGGGGAGAGAACCCGGATCTTGCATATGTAAAGTGTGAATTCTGCTAATGAACTTTACCTTTAGGGCATTTTGCTCTGTTCTTAACACCCTGGTGTGGGGTGAGGGAAGGGTTGGTTTTTTTTTTTTTTCCTCAACTTAGTGCAGAGGAAGAAAAGGATGACAGGGCTTCCTGAGTCTGCAGGGCCAGGAGCAGGGGAGGTGTGGACTTGGATTTGCACTCACGGGGCAGGTCTGACATTTATGAGCTCCTGAGAGAGCGTGGTAGATATGCCCCTCCATGATTGACAGGACCGCGCCGCACCGTCACCATGTCACCCGATGGGAAGGGACACATTGATGCTTCTACTATATCCACTTTGAGTAGACCAAGTATAGCCAAGGGAGCAGAATTCAATTTTAAATGAATTTATAAATTAAAAATCTTTTTTTTTGTCTGTGTTTGAGTCAAAGTCTCACTGTGTAGCCTAGACTAACCTCAGACTGCCTCACACTCCTCTGTTTTCCTGCCTCAGCCTCTAAGTTGATGTGGTTTAAAGCATGCGACATCACACTGGGCTTCTCTCGTTGCTAAGTTCAGATAGCCCTGTCAGAACTGAGAACTGTGGCTGAGGCCTAGCACAGGAGGTCGGGATTGGCACTAGTGCTAGGAAGGCTACCTTTGCCAATGTGTGCAGCTGCACAAAAGTAATCTGAGGAGCAGATTTTGAAAGCCAGGGGTACACAGAAAAGCCCTGTCTTGAAAAACAAAATAGGCACTTTTCAAATTATTTTTTGAGATTGTAATACAACTCTACCATCTCCCCCTTCTTCCTTCAAGTCTTCCTATATACCCCCCCCACTCTCTTTTGAATTCTTAGCCTCCTTTTTTCACACCATTTTTTAAATTAAGCCTGCTCATAGTAACATACCTCCTCCAGCAGGGTCACGCCTCCTAATGCTTCCAAGATAGTTCCAGCTAAGGACCAAGTATTCAAACACTTGAACCAGGGGTGGGGAGGAGATTCTTATTCAAGTTGCAACACATGCACACCACACGCATGCACACCGCACGCTTGCACACCGCACGCTTGCACACCGCACGCTTGCACACCGCACGCTTGCACACCGCACGCATGCACACCGCATGCATCCACATACAAAAAGTTCATGACTAAGTCACTTGGGAGGTGAAAGCAAAAGGGTTCTCAGCAGTATGGTGACCAAGGTTAGCGTGGGTCATGACACCCTGTTGCAAAGGAAATAAGACCAAGGCAGTTAAGACCATATCTGCTCTTCCAGATGTCCTGCGTTCAATTTCTGGTAACTCACATGGCAGCTCACAACTGAAAATCCAGTTCCTGGGGATCCAATGTTCTCTTCTGGCCTCCAAGGGCCCTACATGCTTCTGGTGCACAGACACGCAGTCAGACAAAACAAGGCTGCTAGGTGTCTAGGGAAGGATGGCGCATGTCTGCAGTCCCAGCACCCAGGAGGCTGAGCCTGGTCACAGGGAGTTCAAGGCAGCCTGCACTGTGCAACACCCTAAAAGTAAATGAGGCTACTAAGGATAAATGTTCTGAGTTGGGGAATGAAAATAATACAAAGTGAAAAAAAGCAGGCAAAACAATATCTTCGTATCTTCATAGAAGTCCAAGGAATTTCACAATGAAATTCAGGGCGTCTGCCAAATTAGAGTCCTCATCAGAACTCAGACGCCAGACTCCTAGAAAAGCAGTGCTCCTGGAGATGAGCTGTGAGGGGCTCTTGCCACTGGAAGTGAGTGATGGTGGCGGCTGGCTCAGAACAAAACCAGAAATGACTCTCCAAAGTTCAAACAGAGAGGACACTCATTCTTGGCACTGGGCTTCCTGCTAATTGAAGTCCCAGCATGATAGAGGCCCCACAAATTAACCTGAGGATTTTATGAAAACACCATTTGACGCTGTGTCAGACGGCTCAGTGAGAGCACTACAGCCAAGCCTGACTTGTGTCCACTCCCTGGGCCCCACCTGGTGGGAAGATCTCTAACTCTGAAGCTGCTCTCTAGACTCCACTTGCACGTTCCGGCCTGAGTGTGAGCATTTGCTGTCTTCACTACCCACACACAGACTGGCCTCAAAAGAGTTAGAGAAGCCGCAGGAATCAAACCGATTGGAATCTTAGCGTCTATGTAGCCATCCCGTGGTAGAAGATGCTTATGATGTCCACTTCTGATCCGTCGGTCCAGGCCAGTCCAGGTTCTTCCTCAGCCTCAGAAGCCCGCCAGTCGGCACCTGCCGGTAGTCACTGGTCAAATTCTCGCCTCCTGTGTGGTTGATATTTGCACACTGCACTCATGTGTGTGCATCTGGCTGACTGAGGGGGAATTCTGGGACTGCTCAGCTCGACACTCCAGAATGCCTGGGGCTTCAAGCTGTAGATTATAGAGAATCAATCCATGCCATCCCTTTATTAAAGCTCTTTGACCAGATAACCATTTAGTGACATTTAAAATAGCATAGGGAGGGCTGGAGAGATGGCTCAGTGGTTAAGAGCGCTGCCTGTTCTTCCAAAGGTCCTGAGTTCAATTCCCAGCAACCACATGATGGCTCACAACCATCTGTACTGAGATCTGGT